CTTAGTAAAATAGTTTACTTATTTATCTAGTTTATTTACTTAATAATAATAATAATAATAATAATAATAATAATAATAATAATAATAATAATAACAATAATAATAATAATAATAATAATAATAATATTTAATTTATTAAAAATTATAATTACTTTTTTAATACTTAAATAATACTTTTTTTTAAATTCTTTTTAAAAGTATTTAATTATACTTTTAGATATCTTAAAGTTAAGTAATAGAATTTCTTTTAAAATTTAGGTATATATCTTTTATGAAATATTTTTTACTATTAGTTAAAATTATTTAAGATAATTGTTTATTAGTAAATACCTGTGGGCTGTGAAGCTATGTAGGCTAATTGGCTATGTAGTACCCTCCTTGGAGAGGCGGGTGCGTGGCACCTGTAGGACCTCTGCAACACACCTGCAATATTCATACTGTAAACTTCAAAATCAACGTAAGATTAGAAATGCGTACTTCGTGCTAAACTAACCGTACAGGCTAACAGGAGTGTCGACGATCGCTGAAACAGTTGAAAAAATTGTCCTCGGGCAGGGGTCGCTTTTGATCCAATTTTAACTTACCGACAGACCTACATTTGCTGCGTGATCCCTTCCATGGTAGCTTGCTTCGGTGACGAAAGTAAACACCAGCTTCGGTGCTAACGTAGATTCTTCGACCCTGCTTTCTCTCTAGTTACCTGCCAGTCCCGTACCGAACCTGGAAACAGTGGCCTTCTTCGCGCGTCATCTTTCAAGTCACCTTTCGTCAGTTGATTTACTAGCTTGTTTTGCTCGCCAACTCGCCGAACATGTGGCGAGTTGCGATGGTGGCCAGACAATGAGCTTAGACTTAGCTCCAATGCCAGTGTGCCGCCCGCGTAGCCAGCAAGCCAGTCGTTTGAGTCTTGAAAGCAAGGAACGTGTCGCAGTGTTGTGAATGATCCACTAATCTCAAAAATACGAGTCTCAAAGGAAACCAAGTCCAAGACCGTCAGCGGCTGGCGAGCCGCCGCTTTCCCAGAGAGGGGCGCAAATCCACTACGTCATGAGCAGAACCATGGTTTGGCTGGCAGTCGTTTTGCAAACATGCACTCAGGTCATAGCCATGACGAACTTGGTTCAATGCGCAATGTCGGTTCCAGGCTAGTTTTTGTCACTGGGCTGGCTATTGATGATTCGTAGCGTCCTATCTGTAAGGTCTTTTGGCAAATTGGCAGATTTGAGCACGGTGGTGCACATGTCATCTGATGCCAATCAGTCAGGCTTGACTGTCTGGATCTAGAAGTAAATAGTATTCGCTTATCGGTCGAGTGGGAGTGTGGCAAAGTCGCGCGTGCAGCCAGCTGCCATCTGCCAGCTGCGTTGGCCCGGCACTGGGCAATGCTACTAGGGCGGGAAGACAAAGGACTGAACTCTATCGAGATGCTAGAATTGAAATCCTGGAACACAGCCCTTCACATGATGGCAACAGAACGTCATGCGCTTTTCCTGATCCGAAGACATAGGCACATTGCAAGCAATAATCACAAGGAGTTTAGTTCGAAGACCAACGACGAGCGTTGCAGTAGACGAACTTGCAAAGTACAGAATGACGAGACACTGCCACCTTGGATAGACATAGAAGGTGGTACTGGTAGTAACAAGGCGCCTTTTCATTGTATGCTGTTGAGGCCTCTTATTGTTAACTATTCGCAATGCGGTCCGTACTGGTATTACAAAGGGTTGTTAACGGGCAATATGGCAACGAAGCAGGGCCTCGAGCTGTGCGGAAGATATAAACTCGAAGACTCGTCTTGGATGTGCCCTCTGTTCAGAGGAGCAACTTCAACTTTCAAGCCACTAGGGCTGTGCGAAGAGCTGCTCTTATGCCTGTACTCTGTACAATAAATGAGAACTGTTGTCCAGCCTCGCCTGCGTGGATTGGATTTGGTAGCTGGTAGCCTTGCCAGTTGCTCGCAAGCGCTCCAGCCACAACTGTAGTGGGCAGCTAACTAGGAGCAGTGGCCGCTATGCCCACAATTGGCCCTTGCTGATGCTGGTTCAGGCGGTGAGAGGTTGGGGTCAGCAACAAGCTATGCCGATTGCACAGATGTGTATTCGAGTTTGGCCCACAGACTGCGCCCCCTGCTGGACGCGTGGCGGAGGCATTGGAGGGAGAGGAGCGCATTGACAGAGCACGCTGATTATAGTTACGCAAGGTATGCTCTATGTAGGCGGGCATCGTCGGTCCGGTCACAGCTCGCAGACTTTCTGGCAGCACGTGTCGGGCGAGAGATTGTTGAGAGGTGTTCACGATTGTCTTGTCTACAATGGGTAAGCAGGAATAAACTGTCAACCGGTAACGCAGTTGTCTGCGCCACGGCAGAACTCGGCCAAACACTGGCGAGCGAGTCGGCGTACTGCACAGCCAAGCAAAAGAATGAGTCTGGCCAGGTTGACGGGCAACGCGCTGGTAAGCAGTTGGGCGGTGCAATCAGGGTGGGCTGACCGAGCACAACGGCGCGACCAGCTGGCCAGCCACAGCATCTGTTGTGCAGCAAGTACGAGATGAATTTAACCTCTGGACCCTCTTGCGACTATTCACAACGGCGGCGCTTTCTTCTTCTTTTTGCTCTTTTTTCTTTGCCGACAGGTGTAGCTGGGCTGGGTCTACCTACTCTACTCGCCCCACACCCGCCGGCGGCCGCCAATCTGTGGTTCATGACCAACATGAACTTGGTGAGTAAGCGCAGTCGTAGACGTGGTGCATTGGATAAAAGCATCTGTACTTGTATTTCGCACCTAGCATAGTGCACACCACACCCTCTAGCCTCTAGCGCCTTCCACGGGTCTTCCTACAGCGGTGCTGTTGCTTGCGCAAGTTGTGCTGCATTGTGCTGGCTGGTGAGTTGACGTCCCACCCCAGCCTGCGCTCTCTGCTTAGCGGCCTTTGCCCAGCACCCAGCCCCAGTAACCGTCACCTTTTCTTCCTCCTTCCTATCGTCACTAACAATTGTTGCTCTTTCCCTACATCCAACGCGCCACTACCTGACCTATCGTTCCGCGTACCCTTATCATTGCTTGCGCATCGATCCCATCTTAACCCTTCGCCTTGCTCGCTGCTGCTTGTACGTGTCGCCACTACGTCCTCGCCCTTGCCTCTCGCGTGCATTCTGCGCCCGAGTCAACCAGCACCTAGCAAAAAAAATTAATCATCCACCACCAGCTTTCGCCACGTTCATCAGCCACACGTTCGTTTCGCTTCGCCAAATCTACACTAGAGGGCAGGCGACATGATTGCTTGATGTCCCGCTCTGACGTTCGTCATTTGAATGCTTTCCGCGCTTCATCTTTCTGTTGCGCCGCTTTGTTCTCTCGGACTTGAGTCTTATGGCATCAACCGGAGGCGACATTGACGCCACATCTGCTCTTTCCACCGCAGCGCGCCTCCAGAACCATTTGCCCGACGCTTCCCCTTCTGATCCAACTGCCCGGGCCAACACCAAACGACAGCACGAACACGATTTGCTCTCTCCCACCTCGCCATCTAACCGAGCCGATCCTTTCGAATCCCCTGCCAAAACCGCTCGCATCGCCTTCGCCCACGTTCATTCCCCCTTACTACAATTGACTGGCGCAGTAGCCCTTGAAGATCTGCACCGCAAAAGACTTCAAGAACGAGAAGCTGTCAGAACCCAACTACCAATCACGGAGAACCCGAGCCACAAAGCCTTAACTTCACTCATGTCAGGCGGAATCGAACCAATGAGCCGCACAACAGACGCACCTCAATTTGCGCCTACCGCTGATATGGAGCCAGCGGCCAAGGCGGCCAGCGCCCTCGCTGCTGCTGCCAATAGTGCTACCCGCCTAGAAGGGAGCGTCGCCGATGTCGCCTCCGACCAAACATCAAACGCTACTGCTCCACAGCTTGTCGCCAGCCCAGGCCCCATGGACGTTGATGACGGCGAGCATCTCTCACCCGAGCATGTTGATGGCCAGGAAGGGCGGCACCAGCCCGGCTCCATGCCATATCCCGGCTCATCCTTCGCCACTTCTCATCTTGGTAATAACCACAGGGGAATGACGTATCCTATCCCATCGCCCGTTCAAGGCTCGCCAACATCCTCGGGTACCAAAAAGCATAGGTGTCCTTATTGCAATACCGAATTCACGAGACATCACAACCTCAAGAGCCACTTGCTTACACATAGCCAAGAAAAACCGTATGTTTGCACCGAATGCCAAATGCGCTTTCGTCGTTTGCATGATCTCAAGCGCCACGGCAAACTTCACACTGGAGAGAAGCCTCACATTTGCCTTAAATGTGATCGCAAGTTTGCTAGAGGAGACGCCCTGGCGAGACATGCAAAAGGTGCTGGCGGCTGTGCCGGTCGCAGATTCAGCTTAGGTAGCTTCGCTGAGGGGGATGAGATCGATGGCAGTATTGCCGAAGCTGACGATTCTGCCATGTCCGGTATGACTTACGACCAGGGCGACGAGGAAGAGCTGCGTCGACAAAGTCTTCCGACTGGTGGCCATCAGCCTGATCAATACTCGACACAGTCACGCACATACCCTCCATCGGGACCTCGGCTTGCTGCCAACATAGCTAGTGGACTTTACCCGCCCAATGCGAGCCAGACACAGTCGAGCAACAGTACGGCTTCGTCGGTTCCTAATAGCACGGGTACAGCCCGCACTGGACATACAAGCGTGTCGTCCGCCGCTACAGGCTGTGGAAACACTGGTTTGTACTCTCAAAATGCCATGACAGAGAGTCCCAAGGCTTTGAGTCCAGCAATTCCAGCTCATGAATTAGCTGCCACCGGTCGGCCTCGATCTCCTCAACAGAATCAGCAAGCACAGTCTACGCGGCGTCAGTCACCACCTCTCGGGCAGAGACCCAAGCTGCCAGCTCTGTCTCATCCTAGTTTCCCAGGGCCGCCAACACCGGCTGGAAACAATTATGCGAGATCCCCAGCCGAATCAAACATGTTTGCCCAGAGTGATCCAGGTGTCTGGGCGTATATCCAAGCCATGGATGAAAAGCTTAAGGGCTTGGTCGAAGAGGTTGATACGCTCAAGAAACGCGTTGGTGTACTCGAGACTGGTACCAGCAACTCAGCTGGGCTCCCCTGACTGGTTTTTGTTTGTTCACATTTAACTGCAGGCGAATCAAAAGTAATTTCGGGAGGGGCATTGACTGCCTACAGTCATCAGGCGCAGGGAGAGGACACATTTTAAGAATGGGGGAATGGCGTTATCGGATGATCGGTTTATTTGAGAAGATCTGCGTTGCAATCCTACACAAAATTAAGTAACGACAAGCCAGACATTTTCTTGCTCTTATGATTGATTTCATACGCTGTACTATATATATTGCTTCTGCCGTCATACAATCCTTCTCTGCTTAGTAGCGGTGGGCCAGGCAGAGTAAAGCTAAAATGTTAACATATACTATTTTACTTTACATTTTCTAAGCATTATTAATCCGTAATATTAAAATCTTCATTATAGTATCTATAAGTAGTAGATAAAGCCTAATAGTCTTAGTATATACCTACGTTACTCTAGTAAGTAACTAGATACCATATAAAACACTAAAAAATATAAAGTAAATATACTAAGAGAATAAAATAGTATAATTTTACTTCTTCTAGTAGGTCTAAATACCTTTACTTAGTTTAGTATATAACTTCTAAGGGTATTAAAATGTTATATAAAGGCTATTAGGATTTATATAATAATCCTTACTAAATTTAGTAAAGTGTGCATTTTATATAGACGAGTCGCTAGTACCTAGTCCTTTAAAAAACTTAAGATCACGGCATTTAGGTAGGTATGTGTTTCCCACCATAGCGGCCTAGCGATGCGCCCACCAGTGCTGAACCAACACAGCGTAGCAAGCTTAATTGCGACACGTGAAACGCATTATGCGATAAAGACATAATAGATCTAGTGGACTGATTTTCACACCAAAGTTCATTGTGTGCACTGGAATTGTCCCTCCTTACCGTGTGCGTGATTGTAAGTGGTCGCCTTAGCTGCTGTGGGAGCATCCCTTTGGACCCACCAAGCCAGACGACATCATCCACATCGCTCCTCGTCCAACCCATCACCCCGATCAAAGGCTTGTACCAGCACTTCAAGCTGCGCAAAGCTATCTGCACCCCGACAATTTCTATCTAGAAACCGCCAATCTCCAAAGAGACATAAAAAAACGCTCAAATAGGAGGCTTTTTTATTGTCTACTCAATCGTTGGTGGCCATCGCCCGCGTCGCCAAGTTTCCAAAAGTCGCGGTCAGCCAAGATGGTTGACAGTGAGGCGAATTCGCCAACATGGAAGTTCACGCAGTACGAGGATTCGCATACGTCTGAAAATGTACCCAGCTGAGCAAACATAGGTGTTTCGGCGATAAAGGTGACGTGGAGGACATCACGGAGGGTGCGTTGAATTCTTCCCCGCTGATGGGTTCGGTTGTCTCGGTGTAGGTGTGCTAACTTGCTCCGATCGACTCTAGCCGACATCATCTCTACTGTCGAGTTCGACCACACGGGGAACTACCTCGCTACAGGTGATAAGGGTGGTCGCGTCGTCTTATTTGAGCGCAACGAGACTGTGTGTTTATCTGCTTCTAAGGCTACTGCCTGCTTTGGAGAACCTGCTAATCGTTCCCTTTGCAGAAGAAGTCATGCGAGTACAAGTTCCACACAGAGTTTCAATCGCACGAACCTGAGTTCGATTATCTCAAGTCACTCGAGATCGAAGAGAAGATCAACAAGATCAAATGGTGCCGACGCCAAAACGCCTCCCACTACCTGTTATCGACAAATGACAAAACAATCAAACTGTGGAAGGTGTTCGAGAAGTCGCTCAAGGTTGTTGCCGAGAACAACCTATCGCATGATCTGACGCCGGGAAATGCTGCAGGGGGCGGTGGCGTGGCTCGATCGCGGGCTCTTTCGCAGCAGTTTCGAAATGCCACAGATCTGAAGCTTCCACGACTCACACATCATGATACTGTTGTGGCGGCGGTGCCTCGTCGCACTTATGCGAATGCGCACGCGTACCATATCAACAGTATCTCCGTCAATAGCGATGGTGAAACCTACATCAGCAGTGACGACTTGCGAATTAACCTCTGGAACCTGAACATCCAAGACCAAAGCTTCAACATCGTGGACATCAAGCCGGCCAACATGGAAGAACTTACTGAGGTTATTACTGCTGCCGAGTTCCATCCGCTTAGCTGCAACTGGTTCATGTACGCGAGCTCCAAGGGAACGATCAAGCTAGCTGATATGAGAGAGAGCGCGCTCTGCGATCAACACGCAAAAAGTAAGACCAGGCACCCGGAGCAGCTTTGCGGCTACTAATATTTTCCGTAGTGTTCGAGCAGGACGAGGACCCATCGTCAAGATCCTTCTTCTCGGAGATCATCTCCTCCATCTCCGACGTGCGCTTTTCCTACGATGGCCGATACATACTGTCCCGCGACTATCTCACCGTAAAGATCTGGGATATCAATATGGAGCGGCAGCCGGTGAAGACGATACCTATTCATGAGCACTTACGACCTCGCTTATGTGATACATACGAGAACGACAGTATTTTCGACAAATTTGAGGTTGTTTTCTCGGGCGATGCCAAAAACGTGATGACAGGCAGCTACAACAACAACTTTATGATCTACCCGTCTGACCCAGACAAAGAAGTCGAAGTTGTTCTTCAAGCGGACAAATCTGCTTTCAAGGCGAAGAAGGTTGGCGTGCCCACTCCTATAAACTCCACAAGCCCGACCTCGAACGGCAAGAAGAACGGCTCACGAGCTGGGAGCCCTGGGGCTCAGCGCATGCGCAAGGAGACCGATGCAGATCAAATCGACTTCAACAAGAAGATTCTGCACATGAGTTGGCATCCCTTCGAAGATAGCATTGCTATTGCAGCAACTAACAACGTATGTCAACGCAAAAGAGACCTGTTCCCCTAATTCAATGAGCAACTAACTTAGATCGTAATTACAGCTTTTTGTCTTCTCCGCTCTGTAGGTCTTATAGGGCATGTCGGGAGGACGTTAAACTATCAAATGCTGCAAATGCACCCTATTTTACCCGGCCTTGCGGGTAATATATCACCGTCGCTGAGATAACGCCATATGAAGATTAGATTTCGGTGTCAACGAATCGATGCTTAGTCCATCATTGAATAGCGCTGCCGCTCAGAGGGAGCTCTGTCGTCAGTCTGTTCGGACGAATCCGCGGCCTGATGGTGAGGGGGTGCTTGAAGCGATTCTGTCAGTGTCGGCATGCTGCGTGTGGCATTCACCGCTAAATCCAGAGGCCGCTTAGCGGAAATAGCAATCTGTGCAGTCAGGTCAGAGACAGACGTTAGGTGGGAGAGAAAGACCTAAAAAAAGACATAAAATCAATTCGAAGGGCCGTCTTGATAAAAATAAATAACATGTTTTAGTAATACGAGCTAGATATCATGTGAAAAATAAGAGGTAAAGAGGTAAAAAGAATATATAGTACTTATATAATATAAGTATATAAGTAGTAGAGGTATTATAGTCTAATAGTAAATGATAGTTAAAGTAGTTAATTACCTTCTTTAAGTTAAATAATTAAACTATTATAATTAAAGTTATTTTAATATAGATAACTAAATTTAATTATTATAGTTCTTTTAGAATAATAACATTATAATATAATATTAGTTATATATTAATATTTTCTTAAATTTTAGATCTAATATAAAGAAAATTAATAACTTAGGAATACTAATTTTTTATAATAATTAATAATATAATATAAACTTATAATAGGATTCTATAAAGGATTAATTCAATATTAACTAAAAATATTTTAGTACTTTACTAAATATAAGCTTTAGCTAGTTTATAGTAGCTTAGGAGAATTCTAGGGCTTTATCTTAGTAGTTAAAGTAGAAAAATTATCTTTAGGTATCGACTATAACCTACTGTAAGGGCCTTATTAATTGTCGGCCTGTTTCGCAGGTTTTATTAGCTAAAACGTAGGGGAAATCTGTTTATAGCTAATTAAGAATAATTATTAGGTATAAGTAAAAGCCTATTAAGCTTAGGTAAGGATAGGTAAGGATAGGTTATAACCGTAAAGAATATACCTATATATAGTAGATGTAGAGAATTCTATAAAAATTATAAAAATCTAAGCTTTGATTCTCTCTTTTTTAGAATACTGGTTAGGGGTTAGTGGTTAAGGTTAGTGGTTAGTGGCTAGGGGTAAGGGTTAATGGTAACGGATAGGATCAGTGGTATGTATGTTAGGTACTTTGGTGCCCTAATTTTCGGCCGACAAAACCTGTGCAACAGGCCGACAATTAACGTCGCCCCCCACTGTAAGAGGAACATCCATCAAACGAGGGTTCTGTCATTAAGACCTGCTCCTCGACCACAGGATTCAACTGTTCTTCACCCCCATCACTACTCTACCTTTTTTGCCTGTGCTGCTCGCGACATTCAAAGTCAAGGGATAGCAGGCTGTGCAAGCCGACAATTATTCTACACTCTCTCACCTAGAGGTCACTGATACCTATCTCACCACCGCCCAGTTCGCAGCACCGTCGCAGTAGTGTCTGCCCCTCTTCTACGTCGCGGTGACTGGATCGACTCACATCACAGATCATGACATCGCAGTACGCTTCGCACGGTCGCGGCGGCGCGGGCAACATGTCCGACGCCAAGTCGTCGCCGAAATTAAAGCCGTCCGACCTGGAGACTCCAACGCTCAAGAAAGCCATTGTCACCACCGGGCGCGGAGGTACAGGCAACATGGCGAAGAACAAGGATCCTGTCGAGACCCGATTGCGCCAGGACGTCAGGCCGTGAGTCACCAGTCCCAGGGATCTGCACACGATAGAACTAGCTTTACTGACGTGCACGTTTCGGCTGCAGTATTCCCCGTCGCTATAGCAGTGGCGCTCAGCTCACAGGTCGCGGCGGCGCTGGCAACGTTTTCAAGGACGACGCCGAGGAACTGTCACAAAGCTCAAGCCGCGAGCAAGCTATTTCCGATGACCCAGATCGTCCCGATACACCTTCAAAACTCCGAAAAGGTTGGCCCTTCAGCAAGAAGGCGTAAATGAGTGCACTCGGCCAGACAAGATAGTACCACTGGCCAGAGGCCTATTACTATTGGTGCTGTTTTACATATTCACCGCCCTTCACTGTTCTCCTTGCTGACGACGTAGTGCGGAGTTAGGGTCACCTTTTCGTAGCGGTGTTCTAGCGACGACTGCCTCAAAGATTCAAAACACATCTCTGGAAATATGTAGCAGGCAGCTCACGCCATGACTACGTGCGAAATTTGACTGCACATGAAAGCAAACAAATAGGACAGAAGGGCGAGAAGTATTCCCAATTTCTCTCCGGATTGATGTATAAATGTCTACCCATTTGCTTCCGCTTACATCAAAGTTTACATCAATGCGCCCTAACAGGCTTACAATAACATTGACATATTACTTTCGGAAACGCTCAGCAGGATGACTTTGACAGTCTCTTGGAGCACATCAACAATCAAGAACAGTATTGAATCGATTTTCTCAGACCTTGGTCAGGCGATGTATCTCTTCAAAAAAGTGTTTTAGATTATCGGGATTGACACCAGGGGTAATGCCTGATTGTAAGATTAGTACTCTTCTCAGACCCAGAGTATACTGTTGCTTACCGTGTCCCAGGTTGGCAATCCAACCCTTCTTTGTTTCGGCCCAGAACCCATCCACAGTGCGCTGGACAGCTTCAGTAATGGCTGCCTTCGTGCCATACAAAACACCTGGATCGGCATTGCCTTGAAAGACGACATTGCGGTCGCCGCGGATCTTTACGGCCTCAACAGGATCATGCAGCCAGTCAAGGCCAACAACGTTGTAACCCATGTTGCAAGCCTTGTCCAGAGAATGGTAGGCGCCCTTGGGGAACACTGTCATAGGAACAGGCTCAAGATCGAGGCTTCTTAGCTTCACTGGCAGCTTTTGTGCGATATGCGCTAGGAATGGCTCTGAGAACTTGCTGAATGAATCGGGACCGAGCTCACCAGCCCACGAGTCAAACACCATGACGAGTTGAGCACCAGCTTCGACCTGAAGAGCCAGATGTTCCACACAGATATCCGCGATCTTGGTCAAGAGCTTCTTGGTCGCGTCAGGATACTTGTAGATCCACGTCTTGCTCTGCGCAAAAAGTTTAGTACCACCACCCTCAACCATGTAGCAAAGCAGCGTCCACGGTGCACCGCAGAAGCCGATCAAGGGCACACGGCCCTTGAGTTTTTGACGCGTGAGCGTGATGGCTTTGTAGACGTAGCTGAGTTCCTTGGCGACGTCAACGTTGCGCTCCAAGACCATGTTGTATTGCTCGTCCTCGGGAGTCTTCAGAGGCTGCGGAAAATGCGGACCCTTTTGGTCTACCATTTCAACTGTCATTCCCATAGCTTGCGGGATAACTAAAATGTCGGAGAATATAATGGCGGCGTCGATAAGGCCGGCATAACGATCAACTGGCTGAAGGGTCAGATTTGAGGCTACCTCGGGATCCCGGCAACATTCAAAAAAGTCTCGACCAGCCTTCTCTTCATGATATTCGGGAAGATAGCGGCCAGCTTTCGAAGACCAAATCAGAGTCAGCATTTTGTATAGGGAAGGTTTGCGCTGCTTACCCTGCCGCATCACCCACATTGGCGGGCGTTCAACAACTTCGCCTAGCAGGAAAGCATTCGTTAGTTTGAGGCACCGAAGATCGCGACTGGAATTGTCGTCCAATAGAAATAGCGACATACCGCGAGCTGCGCGCAGCAGTAAATTGTTCTGCAAGGGCTCAAAATTGTGTTTCATTTTACCAATCCAACGCACAGTCATGCATCTGAATGGTTTCTCAAGCCTTCCCCCGCGTCGCTTCAAACTAGTAGATATTTAAATATTGGGGCGGAGCTTCGGGGTACGGGGGTACCTCTATCGTGCCGGAGCTCTTCGGGCCGGCCACAGCCACGCCAAAAGCAGCGCCACAACACGTCGCTACCTTCGCACAAGCTCTCAAGTTGCCTACCCTGGTTGCTGGGTGGGCAAACACTCCCTTGGAAACAACGGTACAACCTTCAACAGCTAGGCGATCATTGCCGACATCACTATCCAAAGCAGATTGACATACCTGGTGACTGCAAATGATCAAAATCTTCGATTTAACATCGCACAGAGGACAAAAAGCCACTCACGCGCCGAGATGTCGGAGCGTGAATATCAAATCAATCCGCTAGTCCAAGAGTCTATGATTCACAATGGCAGGGTAGACACCCACTTACAATCTTGCCTGCATATCCATCTTGTGCTGATACATGACTTCTTTATAGACCCTGTCAAACTTCCAAAGCATAACTGCTCCTCTCTTCGGCGTAACGGCCGGCGTTCTCGGTCTCGAATCATATACTGGCTTCCTGCTCTATCTTGTCCTTTCCATCGTTGCAACTCTCATGTTCTATGCCATTCAGATTGCACCTTCTTCACTTGCTGCGGGAAAATCAACTTTAGATCCCGGCCGATACTACTACAATTCTTTGGGCTTCTGGACGGGCGGCATTTTTAATGGTCTATCAGGTTTCATATTGACGTGGACTCTTTTCTATGGCCTGGTACGAGCCTAATAACTTCGAGTAGACAGCAAGACCAATATATCGGAGAAGTCATTATAAGATTTCGGACTACAATAAATATGTATTGTACAAAATGAATCAGTACACCGAATGTCCTCGCACTCTAGCACGCATAGGCGCCAAACTGTATATACAGAAATGCAAACAAGTGCTCCAGATGTAAAAATTACTCAACAATTTCAACTACTTTTCCAACGTGCCCCTCTAGGCCCGACCTATCCCGTGTACCGCCTTCTAGTATAATGACGCGCGAACCCATTTCAATCCACTCTCGAGTATGTAGCAACTCCAATTTCGCTTCAGCAGCGTTGCTGCCCTCCGAGAATCGTGAGCCTCCCGTTCCCATCTCAGTCATGCTTAACACACCAAGTTCATCCGTTGCAGTGCTTTCAGGCTCTTGAATCATCTTGTAGAATCCAGGATAATGAATCTTCGAAATACGCGCGGCAGCCCGAATACTGGCAACGTAAACTTTAACGAGGGCACCGACCGCGAGTGTGTTTGAGTCAAGTTCATCGAAAACAGCCGTGAACCCGCTTGCAGCCTGCAAAGTTAGGCTAGTATCCAACATGTGCTTCGATAGTACGGCGAGTATCATGCCCCTGCGAATACGCGGCAGGTCTCTGAGAAAGCCTCCATCACCCCTTCCCAGGACCAGGCCAATGGAGCCGGCCTGGCCGGCCTGAAGAGACCTTACTGGGAGGCGCAGGTTTCTGATGCTCACGACTTTGGCTTCGAGCCATTCTCCTTCAACGTCCGATGCAGGCAGAGCATTTTTCATGATAACTCTTGCTAGTTCTGTGGAATCAGGGTGAGAAATAGACAACCCAAAGCTGCTCGGTGATGGAGGATGCTCCGAACTGGATATTTTCCCGTCTTCATCTTCAGACGGAATTGGACCAACCACAATGCTCTCCCCAACCGTCAAACTACCGAATCTGAGATGACCCGAGACAATGATGCCACTCTGCGCAGCTGCGATATCGGTAGCCAAGCTTGTCTGAGAAATAGGTAGATTATAAGTATCGTCAATGTGGAAGAGCGAATCCGGCTGGTCGGGATTCAGCCCAACGCCGATCGAGTCGTGTGATTTCGGCGGAGGGGGTATCGGCAAGCTTTCCAGAAGAGCATGAAGCAAACCTATACCAGAGCCAGTCATGGAGCTAGTGAGGACAATTGGTACAATCTTGGTCAAGCTGCTGGCATTCTTCATGGCTTCGGTAATCGGGCTGATCTTCGATCTGTCGTTCGCGGGAATGTGAGTCAGCTCCCAGTATTTTTCTTGTTCGGGTTTTAAAATCTTCGGCGCTCGTCCTGCGTCTTTGATCACGCGTAAAACTTTTCCAAGTGTCTTTTGAAGCCCAACCTTGGAGGCCAAGTCCATCTTGGTGATAACGACCGTCATTGGAACGTCCAGCTTCAGAGAAAGAGTGAGATGTGCCTTCACGAGGTCGACGTAAGGTACTTCTATGCCGTTATTTTGTTGACCTGCGGGGTCATTCGAACCCGAATCCTGCCGGGAATCATCTGCTGCTACACAGAGAATGCTCCAGTGCGGTGCCCAGTTCATGAGACCTCGAAGAACAGTCCGGCTGTAGCGAGGATGTCCACCCGAGTCTGACACGAACAATAGTCTGCCATCTTGCGCTTGATCATGGACATCTATCCATGATTCAACATCTGGCCGAGAGAAGTTCAAAATAGCACCATCTTTGTAGCCAACCAGTTCTTGAGCAATTGAGCTGGTAACACCGGAGGCCATTTCGTGTCGGTGCTTCAGAAGGCTGAGTCTGCTTTTGCCTCTGCCATTATCCAAAGTTCCAGTAGACAGGGTACCAAGAAGGCTGGATTTGCCAGAAGTGGTGGGACCGGTCAGAGTCACCCTCAACTGCGAAGTTGTAGACGTGCCACGGCTGGTGATTGCAAGGCTCTGTCGGCCACTTCCGTCATCCACTTCCGTAGCATGATGATGCTTGAAGCTTGGGGTGACCATAGCCTCGGCTACCCAGAGCCTGTCTTTTCTAAGAACTTGCCGGACGGCGGCGTCACCACTGTCGACAAGATCGACACACTCCATCCATTCACATTTACCGACATTGACCATACGAATGACTTCAACAGTACAGCCTAGGCTTGCTGCCATGATCCTCAGTGTCGTCAAACTCTCGTCCATTTCGTCTCTTGTGAGTCCCACAAGCGTGCCGTCGTCCGATACACCAATTTCATATAACGCTCCCCCCGATTCTTCCAAGCCAGGGACCAAAGGGGTAAGTTGAATGGTGGAATTGAGATCAGAGTTCTCATCTGGAAATCGTGGGGTGACCAATTCTTTGGACCTCGCGGCGTGATACGGAGAAGATTGCTGCAGTCTCCAAAGAAGCTGTGTCGTCAGATGTTTGAGGCGCTGCTGTCGCGGCTGAGGAGCGACAACGTGTTTGACAAGAGTCACCCTCCCGCATGTATCAGCTAACGGCGTGCCAGTGCTCGATGTGCCGCTCTTGATGCGAGTTGACATATATGTAAAAGCTCTCCTGGGCCGCAGGAGAAGATGCAATTTGTACTCAGTAGGGCCTGCTTGAGGCTCGGCCTCTAATCTAATGAGGCCATAGTCTGAGAGCAAGTCATGCTTGTCGTTCGCGTCTTCTGTTGGGAAAGGGGTCGCCACGACCGGCTTTGCCGGTGAGATCCACGGCGAGGATACCTTGGGCGGATCTGGATCGTAGGTAAATATGGAAGCCATGATACTCGGTGACAAGTTTTCTCGTTGGCATTCATAACATGCCTAGGAGAGTCAAGTTGTACATATCAGTGTGTATGAATCTATTGAATTGCTTGACGCGCTGCCCGCGTTGTGTGTCGTATTTGCAGATGATGTTGCCATAAAGCCATTTTGCACGCCGGATTTGGAGATGACACGGCTACTTTGGCGGTTGCGAGGTAAAATTGTATGCTTTGACGATCTACCCCGGCTTGGGAGTGAGGCGGGCGAACACCTACGCCGTGATATAGCAGGTTAATGTACAGCTCTCAGGGTCCGACTACAATGCGCAAGCAGTGACGCATGACCGTTGTACTTGCCACCCACCCACGCTATACACGTGCCCGCACCCGTCGCTCCACTTAGGTGCTGCAGGGCTAGGCAGCCACCATAGCCACGTAGTCATAAAACGCTTTTCTTTTATATAAAAGCTAATATAAATATTAAAATTATACTTTAACTAGAGTTAGATATTCTAAATATTTTAAGTAGAAAGTTAAAAGCTTTATTTTATATAATATTAAATATATTTTATTAAAAGTTGTTATTATTATTATTATTATTATTATTATTATTATTATTATTATTATTATTATTATTATTATTATTATTATTATTATTATTATTATTATTATTATTATTATTATTATTATTATTATTATTATTATTATTATTATTATTATTATTATTATTATTATTATTATTATTATTATTATTATTATTATTATTATTATTATTATTATTATTATTATTATTATTATTATTATTATTATTATTATTATTATTATTATTATTATTATTATTATTATTATTATTATTATTATTATATTATTATT